AGCCCTGACATAACAAAAAACCAACACACCTCCGTCGGCACCAGTGGTGAGGACCAGGACTACACCTGTCCTCACTGCGGCCGCACTTTCTCTTCAAGCACCAGCCAGGTCGGTCACTTGTTAATCAATCAAAAGGAGACTGGCGAACCAGTGCCTGGGGCACCAACCTAAGCCCGCCGCACCCACCTGCACCGTCCACACTGCCCGCGCACGTCCGCGCATTGCACGGGCCTATCCAGCCATGTGCGCATCCGAGGGTGCGGAACCGACCGCAGTTCCAACACACCCACCACACCCAGCACAACAAAATTGCCCAGCCCCTCACCCTGTTCGCCTACCGCCACCACCACCGCGGTCTCCGTAACCACGGATTTCTCATAGCTACGTTGTCCACGCACATTCATCTCACGCATCGGCATGGTTGGTCAATTGCGAATCCATAGCACGAAGACTGGCGAACCAGTGCCTGAAGCACCCACCTACACCCACAGCTTTCGCCTGCACTGCTTGCACTGCCCTCTTACATTCTTGCACCGCATGGGCCTATTCGGCAATGTGGGCATCCACTAAAACCTGCGGTAGACAACCGCCTGCTTCACCACACCATTACATTCTCGCTCATCACCATCTCGCCGCACATCAACATCACACACTGCAAGAACCCAACTGCCACCTTCTACGCAGGTAGGAAGTGTGTGTCTCGACTCGGTCTTCATGCGGTTTCTGTTGCATGGGTGACTCGAACCTGAGACTACACCGAAGCGGCAAGCGTCGTCGATTGGAAGGCTGCTGGCTGACGCCCCAAATCATTCCACGCAGTCCATCCAGTTGTATGTGTGTAGAATGGCGGAGTGAGAGCTGGGTTGAATCAGCTCATTTGTTTATTGTCCTGAGCTTTCGGCCTGGTCCATCGTCGGAGGTAGTAGCAGCAGCAGCAGAACAAGCGAAAGTTATAGAGCATGTGGGCCAATCATCGACCGATGGCACAAGACTGGAGATGACTACGCAGGGCACTGAACGCCGGCGCTAGATCGATAAATCGATTGACGGACTTCTCATCCGAGGCCCAGACTTCAACCAGTTCTCGACCTGTTTTGTTTCCAGCGTGGGTGACTATTTTGGTGGCTTCGAAGTTAAACTCGTGACCTATTTCGTAGGTGTGAGCAGCTCCCTCCACGGCACTCTCACGCATGTGAGAGGTACGTTGCCCTACCCTCGTTGTGTGAAATCTTGGTGTTTGGATGACCAGGTTGTGCACGCTGCGGGCGAAAACACGGTCAGTAGACAATATCAGTCACCGCGTCCGTTCCCCGCACCTGTCAAATGTCCGGCTTGGACGGTGCATGGGGCTTGAAAATGGAAAAGGAAAGTGAGGTCGACGACTCAGTGCATTCTTCTTGCTACAAACAATCGGACATGCTGTTAAGGTACGCTAAAAGCCGTGGCATGGAAGGCTGCCAGCTGAAGAGTTGACTTGGACCACTCAGTCGGGATCCGAGCTGGTGTGAGCGGCAGACTTAGATGCGGCTTCGGCCATGCCAGCCTCCATTCTTTGTGCTGTAATTGGTCAAAATCTTGGTCCTATGCTGTGCGGACGAGGGGGTGCGGAGTGGAGCTTCAAAATCGTGCCATCCACCTGTGCCCTCCTATGTCTCCGCATCCAAGACCATCAACTGGCAGTTAAGAGCTGAGAACACTTTTTTCAAGTGGCCATGCACGCTCTTGATTCTGGACACACTTTCGCATGGGACAAAGGTCGCTTCGTCGGAGTTCGCCCATCTGAAAAGGCCGATATTTTCTTAAAGCCATGCACTCCGATGAGTCATGCATCAACTCGCATATCGAGTTAGATGCCACGTACGAAAGTCTCTGGGAAAAGTGAACAGACTAAAACCGATCAATAGAGACTGACGCACAAGACGGCCGCTAACTGGCTGAAGCACCAAATGCACATTGATTTTGGAGCACGCAAGAAATGTTAATGGATTTTTGTCCATGTACTCAAAGCGAAACAAGAAAATTCGGTGCCTATCACTTCAAGAAAGAGCGAGAGTTGCTTGAGGCCATGCACTAGGATGAATCGTGCATCAACCGTCATATAGTGTTGGACGCCGCTGAAAAAGTCTCAATGAGAAATGGAAGACACGAGAGCAAATCGGAACAGAATGATGCAGATTGCGACCGCTCACAGGCGTAACTGCGACACCTTTGCAATCTTACTCGAGACGCGAAAGACTACTTTAAAAGGCAATTGGACTCGGTCATCCCACAAATTAAGTTGACCATGGACGACGAAAAATACGGAGTGCTCCCTTTCCTCGAAGTTCAGGTAACGAGGAAAGAAGACGGAACCCTCCAGTCTGGTATCCTTCGAAAAGCGACAAACACGGAGAAAATTCTTCACTACACCGGCAACCAATCCCTGTCGCATAAACGCAGCTGCGTCCGGACCCTTTTTCGCCGCATCAACACACACTGCAGCGCAGAAGCCGAGAAGCTGTGGGAGCGTGAAACCCTGTGTCACCTCTTCCTTGCCAATGGATATCCGCGCTGTTTTGTAAACAAATGCTTTTACCAAAGACATACGAGTGCCGACCGCGAGAACACGCAAAGACCTGAAATCTTCCGCGTGCTGCTTTACGTGAGAAACGTCTTCGAAGCCACTGAGCGCATGCTAAGGCCACTAAGCGTAGGCGTTGGACACCGACCGGAGGCCACCATCCGTCGCTTACTCATGCAAACCAAGGGGCGGCTACCACCTGCAGACACGTCAGGCGTCATTTACCGATTCAACTCCCTAGACGGTCTTGTCAATTACTGTGGCATGACGGACAAACGACTGCGCACGCGCGTGCATGAGCACGCTCTAGTCGTATAGCGAAAGGATGTGCGCTCGCACGTCGCCATGCACAGTCTACAAAATAATCACGTGTTAGACTTTGACGGCGCCCAAGTGCTCGGCCGAGCGGAAAGCAAGCTGACGAGAGAAGTAATCGAAGCCTGGCAATCAGACGCCAACTCGTTCAACCGCAGTTTTGACCTACCAACGCCATACGAGGACATCAGGCACCACTTGCGCGAGAGAGGAGAGCCAATAAGAGGAGAGCGGGATTGACCTATCAGGTGCGAGCGCGAATGGCCTATTTATCCCATGTATTTCTCATTTGGCCTGTCTCCGATGATGTGCTCGAGTATGAAAGCGAAACGTCAGACGAATGAACTTTCTTCCCAAGAGATTGCCTCATATTGCCCTTCCATCTTCTTTTCCGGGGTCAGAATTTTTCGCTTATGTCCATGAGACTTCCGGGCGCGAAGCGCTTAGTCGAGCACGGCACTGGGAGTTATTTTCCTGTCGACAGGGGTTTACATGGTAACAAATGGCCTTTCCTTACAACTGTCTGATGTCGGACATTACGCCGAGGAGCGTTTCTGTAAGACCTTCAGTCAGAACTGACTTCGGCCCGAGGTCGCCAGGAGATGCAGCCGAGGCCTACTAAGGACCCTCAAAAACAATTGTTACATCCGTCTGCGCAAATACGGCAGGATAATCGAAAGGGAGAAAGCGGCATGTGCAGCATACCAGGATGAGCAACTAATGCAAAACCTGGGGAGCTGGATCTTGATTCAGGTGAACGTGGAACGAGACAAGAAGAAGACCCAATTCCTCAACAAAGTGCGTAACCTAAAACAAACACAGGCACCCGTGCGCGAACCGTCAGCCGTCCACAACCTGTCATCTAAACAGCTGACAGACGACCAAATTAAAGTGCTTCAACATGAATCCGGCTACAACACAGGAGACGCACAGCCAGTAGGTTTTATCGCTGCACTAGAAGTGGCACTTTCACAAACAGATGCCTCAGATGACTCCAAGAACGCGATTCGTCAACGAGTCGCATCCCTCATCATATGCCATAGGCCACACCGAACCATCACCTCAGCAGAGCTCAAGGCCATAAGGAAATTAAAGAAAGACGATGAAATTGTCATTTTCCCAGCGGCAAAGTGCAGGCAACCGTAGTCCTCGACAAGTCAGAATACGTAACGAAAGCCCAACGACAACCAGTCATGCAAAGTCGTTGACACCGACCACATGAAAACACTGGTAGGCAAAATCAATAAGAGCCTGAACCAAATGAGGAACCAAAAGGCATTATCCGAAAGGGAATTGAGACAGATGGCAAGCTACTGCCCTAGCGCGTTTCTATAGTTTACCGAAAATCCACAAGCCAAATGTTCCCCTACGACCCATTGTGCCGCTGAAAGGCACGCCTACTACGAACTGGCTAAATGGCTAGCTAAGCATTTAAAGAGGCTGGCGGACGGCTCAGGACACACAGCCGTATCTTTAGCACACTACCTGATCAGGCCTTGTACGCAGCGCCTGCTAGGCGGGATGTAGATCTATAGCTCAATTGCATGTACCAGTCGAGGACCAACTTTGGAGCACCAGGCTGTCCATCTTCTAATTGGCTCCAACAATTGCCCTCGCTTTTTCAAGGGCAACATCGTGGTTCAGTTCTCGTATGTGGCTATAGATCAAAGACAGCTTGTCCTGGCAGGAGATTGCAAGTTGGTGTTCGTGCAATCCTGTACTGAGGCGTTTACCCGTTTCACTAACATACCTTGCATTGCAATTAAGGCATGGTATGTTATAGACCACTGCCAACTGTTTTGTTGTTGACAGCGGGTCTTTGGGCTTCATGATTTGCTGTCTGATGGTGCATTCTGGTTTATGAGCCACGCCAATCCCAAAAGGTTTCAGGATTCTTGCCGTTGCCTCTGAAACGCTCTTCACATAGGGTATTGAGAGCCAGAACTTGGGCTTTTCTCCACTCGACCGCTCAAAATGAGGCTTTTTGAGGCAATTGCGTATGAAGGACTTCGGGTAGCCGTTGGCTTTGAAAAGGGCGTGTAAGTAATTCACCTCCTTCTTCCTCCCACTGTCGTCGTTACAGTGTGTTTGAACACGTTGAAAGAGAGATCTGACACAACTGCGTTTATGACCAACAGTGTGGTTGCTTCGGAAGTGGAGGATGCGCCTGGTTTTTAGTTGCCTTGCGGTAAACCGTTGTCCTTATCTTCCCGTCTGTCAATCTCGTAACTTGTACGTCCAGGAAGGGCAACTGATTGTTGACTTCCTCTTCCATAGTAAACTGAATTTCGGGAAAGATGGAGTTCAACAATGCCTTGAAAGCCTTCACCTCGCTTCTCTTGATTACAACGAACGTGTCGTCGACGTATCTGGCCCAGAACTTCGGGGGGTACGAGCTGAAGACCTGCTGCTCGAGTCTCTGCAAAACTGCTTCGGCAACTAGTCCAGACAGAGGCGAGCCCATTGGTGTCCCCTTCTTTTGCTCGTAGACTTGGCCGTTGAATGTAAAGAAGGTCTTAAGACACAGTTCTAGGAGCTCGATGATGTGTGCTCGTTTGAGCTGTTGGTCGGTTTCATCATACTTTTCCCGGAGAAACCCATCAATAGTGTCGACAGCCAGCGCGGGTGGGATGGAGGTGAATAATGAGATCACGTCAAATGACACCATCACCTCATCTGCCTCCACTTCGAGATGTTTGATGCGCGTCAAGAACTCTTCAGTTGACTTCACTGTCCACTGCGAATCCTTGGCAAGGAAACAAAGTCGCTGGTACAGCCACTTTGACAGCCCAACGGTTGGAGTACCACATAAGGAGACGATGGGGCGTAACGGTACCCCCTGCTTGTGGACATTTGGTAGGCCATAGAAGCGCGCCATCGCGGTATCACTGGCTTTTGCGGCCAACGCCTCCCTTCTCGTAAGAGCTCCCGCCTTCCTCAGCTTGCCGATCGTATTGTTTATGCTGTTTACGAGCTTTTTAAACTCGCTGACGGTCGATGGCACATAAGCTTCCTTGTCCATCAAGAGGTTGCCTAGTTTTGTGCAGTACTCAGCCTTATCCATGACGACAGTCGAGCGCCCCTTGTCGGCGGGCAGGGTGACGATATCCTTCCTTTTTCGTATCTTCAGAAGTTCTCGATCTTTTGCATTAGAAATCGTCATCTGGCGTTTGTGTTGGAGGAATTAGGTCGACACTTGTTATCGCATGGCGTTTTTGGACTCCTCGCCTGCCTCACACTTCTGGAGCGCCGATTCAAAGGATGCGATAAAGTCTTCTTGTAGAGCATCTCTTGTGTTGAACTTCGCGTCATAGGATAGAACCGCTAGTTGTTGCTGAGTGAAACGATGAGAGGACAAGTTGTGAACCAAGTCACCGTCAGTAGAGGGCTGCTTTGGCGGACTTATTTTCTCAAATTTTCCAGACAACTGGTCATCACGCAGCTTGCGGTGACGCCGTGCGCTGTCGAGAATTGCCGCTTTGAGGACCTCTAGCTCGTGTGCCGTAAAGATCGACTAACAAGTTGACGAATGATGTTCAATTATCTGGCGGTACTTGTGGATGCGGGCGTGGCAGTCTCGTATCAGTACCCTGATCATTTTCTTCTTGAAGTCTGCCATCGTCCGTCGGCAAAGGTCAGTGTTCAAAGGCGGTCTTTATCTGAGGCATTTCGGTAGGACATCCTCATCAAGGCACGTTTGCAGGAATTTCAGCTGAACTTAGGCGGAGGACTCTCGCTTCGTGAAGGTCTCTCATTTTCGTGCTGAGCAGAGGGCTGTGCGCCGATAGTATACATCAATATTCGTAAAGATTGGAG